CGCCACCTTGTGACGATTCCACTAAGGACCGATTTGAGACTTCACATCTTCGGTTTCAATTACGGCACTGCTGATTTCCAGTGAAGTCTTGTTCGTGAAAGTCACCTCACGAAGAAGCATAGCAGATAAGAGAATGTTACTTTTGGTGTTTGACAAGCTGAGAAGTTGCCGTGCTTGGATCAGCAAGCTACTGGAATCCATTGTTGCCCAGTCTTTCGGAGCGTTGAGGAAGCTTCCAACGACGGATGCGATGTCGTTGTTGAACCCAATTTTTGAGCAAACAACTGTGCTCCACGAACATCCGAGAAGATATAGAGCTTCAACAACGCCATCTCAAGTACCTGGCACAAGTCACAGCTTGGGGATATCTGTAGGGGCTCGAGGGGCTCCAGCATATTTGCTCCCTTGAGTTGCAAGGACTTCGTAGTGCACCCCTGGTTACTGCGACGTTGAAAATCCGAGAGCCAAAACTTGAGGAAGTCGTAAGCTTGCTGGTACTTTCCCAAGGCAACCATCACTCCAGCAAGTCCTTTTCCATGTTGCGGCGTGATGTTAAGTAAATATGCATTGGTGATAGTTTGCATATATCGATCCCATGTTCCAATAGGCCGCCAAGGCGACTTCATTGATTCTAAACTCAAGATGGTTTTGAGAGCGAGATTCTTCCCGCAAGCTATCCATCACCGCCATGCGCCTCATCAAGTAGAACGCTGGGGATGGCATCCCAGTTTCAATATGATTGGAACGATAGAAATCCAGTAAATTACTCATTGAGTCATCCATGTGGTACCGTTGCAATTGTGCAACGTTTTCTTCCAATGCTTCCTTGTACTCCGAAATCGCCTGAAACGTACTGTAGCATTGCGGTTAGAAAGAAAATAGTCGCTACACCTTGTTTGCACCCAAAGCAGCCGAAGACTCACCTTGCAACTTTCCTTGTGAATTTTGTAATCCAGTACCTGACATTCTTGACTACAATAAGCAGCAGACTTGCATCTTCCACATAGCTTGAGAGTCGCCATTGTCCATCCAACCTTGCCACAGCGCAGCCACACATTGAGTGTAAAATGAATTGTCT